TTGAGATTGTATTGAAGGCTCTGAAATTTGAAAAAAATAGATTTTACATGGGAGTCTATGACAGAAGTTCTGGGCGATTTTCAATCTGACTGAAATCGCCCCAAAAGGGGGTGGAGCCATTTGAAGCACGACTTTAGCCTGATTCGACATTTAGTGGCAGTGTGGCACTGTGGCAGATCAGACGTATAGATTACAACACTGATAACTACTGTTGCCGTGATATAATTGATTAGAAAAAAAATCCCTTCCTTTTCCCGTTTGGCAGTGCGTCGCCCATATCGCCCTATTGAACAGGCCGTCCCTGCTGGCAAGCATAATTTTTTTCTGTGGACATTTTGGTAAGATGAGCTGGAATGGTCTTGTTTCTCGTGAAATTAGAAATTGTTGGATAGGACAGTAGATTGAACGATGGGTAGTTAGATTGTTCTTGTGGATTTTGTCAAGTGATGCCGATACAGGGAACAAATGACAACGGTAGTGCTAATGAGTGATATCTGGCCTAATTTCTTGCTCTTGCATTCATCTTTTCAGAACAAGCCTATTTTGTGGGCTAATTGCTAGGTTGATGTAAGGGTGTTGATTTTAAAGGAGAACTGCCAGAGAAGAATTTGATATACATGTTTTTTCTCTGTTCCAGCTCTGATACTTTGGTGTTCTTTTATGTGAAAGCCAAGTGACACAGCCAGCCCCATGTCCCTTGGGCCCACTGCACTAGTGGGAATTGTCTTGGAGACAGGCCTGCATTGTTCTCCAAGCTCATGTTAGACAAGGTAGAGGAACTGTGTCGTCTTGTCTGTGGGTGCCTTAAACCACAGGCTGATGGGAAACCACCATGGGTCGTACTGACCAGAGTAGAGGGGCTTGTAATGTTCTGGTACTGGACACAGAAAACACAGGGCTTTTATTTAGGCGTTTCCTCCACCCAGTCTTCAACTATACTGGATAGTTGAGCCGAATTCAGAAGATTTATGGCAGTACCCGAATGCCCTTTTGAAAATGAAATGTAGACTCACTTTTGACCAACATTGCATTTGTAGTGCCCTATAAAATAACATTGCATTCTTAGGGCCCTATAAAATCGGTTTTATTTTTTGCCTGATTCAGTTTTTTCCCAAATTCTGTTTAGTTGTTTTTCCAATTTTTCAGGTTTTCGCTGGCAAAATCACACTTTGTTAATAGAAAAGTAACAATTGGATGTTCTTAGTCCACAACAATGCTTAAACCACATCAGGAAACCACTTTTAAGGTCTGGGAAAAAAGGTCTAAGAAATTTGGATTTTGGGGTGTAGTTACCCTTTAATGCAAGTGCACACTAGCAAAATACATTGTTTGGTTAGCGATGTTTCTGTAGCTCTCATGTGATTGCGGAGTTGCCACTGGATTGGCCACTGGATTAATTAAAGTAATCATGATATCATTCTGGCAGGTAGGCATAACCACAAAGTAGCCTAACATTTAATTGAGTAGGTTTTTGGGAAAGCCTTTCCATCTCTACCAGAAGATGGTTATCATTAGCATCATCGCTAAGGGCTACACAAGGTGTAGACATGCGTGCACCGCACACACAGATAAGGGCATTCCTGTGCCATTTCAGAAAGTAGCAGGGAAAATACAATCACTGATACATTTTGTTCGTGTCTTATGATTAACTTGGGCAAATGAAAGAATGTTCTAATAAGTTCAATACAATTTTGAGTATTGTTGAATTCCGTTTTAATGTCTGGATTCCATGAGGTGTATTCAAAATCAGTGTCTCTCTGGCATTATCTATGGTCTGACTTGACAGTGGAAGTGTTGCGGCAGACATGATGCACTGACTGAACAGGTGTTATGAGACCTCATAGCCCTTTGTAGATCCAAAATAAAGTGCTTATTAGAGCAAGGCCATGTCAGTAAGTAGACCCCCACAGAGTCTGCTCTGAGGCTGTAGCCTGGAGAATTCCTTTAGCTGAGCTGTCTCCCAGAGTCCCTCAGGCTTGAGGGAGATTGAGAAAAGGAAGAGGATTGGACTGTTTAGGATCCAGCCTACTAGTTGAAATCCTGTTTTTGCGGCTGTAGGCCTAATGCTGTGTGCTTGTTTACATGTCAAATTATGAAGATCTAGCCTAGGCCAGTGTATTAAAAAAAATAAAAAATAAACAATCATTAGGAATTCTGAGGCTTTCAACTTACTCTTGGAAGTTGTAATAGTAGAATGCACAAGGTGCAACTTTTGAAATTGGGTAATGCATCAGCAGTTTTCCTCTTGTCATTGCAGACCTTAGAGCTATTTATAACTTGTAAATAAAAATGTCCAGATCAACTTACTAGGTTTTGTAGCCCATTAATTTTCTTGGAATGTTTGAGTCCCTCAGATATCACATGAAAACACATAAGACATGGCAAAATGTGTAGACTTGCAGGAAATTCAGATTTTCCTGTGGTGGGGAATGGGGGATCCAGAGTGGAAAAGGTTTGGGAACCACTGGCCTAGGCTATTATCCTATTATCCTGGCCTCCAACACTCATCAGGCAGAATGTTGTCAGCCATGTACCGGGATTAAGCAATATAAAATATTTGAGTTTTTATAGAATGGTATCTTGAGGAGTATAAGGAAATTGTCTCCCCTTCTCTGTTCAGACATGAAGTAACGAGACATTTAGCCTATTAAACATTTCAGAAATTGCTTTCAGCTGTTCTTTTGTGTGTGACCAGGGAACAATCCTCTCATTAGTTTTGCTTTATCACACCCTTATTTTAGTTTGTGCTTAATGGATAGCTCTGTGGTAATGCCTTGTTTTAACAGATTATCTCTGCAGCCTTAGATCAGGGTATTCCCCAGGACAAATTCTCAGTCTTATTCCGAAGGCCTTCAGGATTATAAGTCAATTGTGTTATTACCTTGCAGTTAAGACTTTGTGCCAGGCAGAAACTGACTTTCCTTGTTGAATTAGCTGTATACCTGATCTCAGTTTTTCTGTCCAGAGCTTCAGAGCAAATCAATGAAATGCAACAGTTTTCAGATAATGGTGTATTTTTCTGTAGTTTGTTTGTCTCATTTTTGTCATGAACAAATTATAAAAAGACGGACAGTCTGGTTTTCCTTTTGTATAAAGGAATACAGAGGATAGACGCAAGGATACTGAGTAGTAGGCTGCATGAAGATACAGAGTTCAGCCTACCTACAGATTGTAACACCAGGTGATTTAACTAAAAAACAATTGGTATCAATTATACTGGGAGTTACAGGTTAGGTACTGTTTGGTGTAGCACAGATCATTTTTGACCAACCTTAGCTTGGCGATTTACTGTCGTCGTCCTCGATTCGTGGAAACAGGAGTCTCATAAAATGTCCAGTTGCAGGGTTTCTGTTGGAATTTAGAAAATGCTCCGTTATTAAAATAAATAAATAAAATTCTCCACGAAGTAATCCAACAATGTGTACGCTTCCATCTTGTCTATTTCGAGTCTTCTCATTGATTGAGACATTTTATGAGACTCCTGTTTCCACGAATCGAGGATTAAGACCTTATTGCTAAGGTAAGTGGAAAATTCTCTGTGCTACACCAAACAGTACTTAACCTGTAACTCCCAGTATAATGGATACCCATTTTTTTTGTTCAATCACATCATCTGGTGTTACAATCTGTAGCTAAATTCAGCCTACTGTTTGTCAGGACTAAGCCATTTCTCAGGGCATATAGCACTCATGTCATGGAGAGGTGCCATGTCCCTCAGGAAGTCTTTGTTTTGTGCAGCTATGAAACTGAACTAACCTGGTTCCGAGGGAAGTGGTGTTGGCCCAGCTGTAAGGATGTATGGAATAGGTGATGATCATGATGCAGTCAGATCTAATCTGCTTTCAGGTATGTGAGTGTGTAACGATACCATCATTTTAACTTCGATACCAGGTTTAGTATCACAATGCGCGATACCAAAACGATACCGCAAACAAATAAAAGAAGGCGTATTAGCCAAAGTCAAAGAATTGTACTTGATCGAGACCTTGAGTTCAATATCATTCCATTTGAACATTTGTATCTTCATTTTATAGAGACCCATGTATATATGAATTAATAAACTATACAATCATACAATCAATTTTACTTTGTTTTTACCAATCTAACTACAAAACAACATAGTGGTAATCATTTATTGAATGGTAAATCTCCATTCATAAACTGGGTAAATCAAGATGTAGCCTAGGCCTATCCACAATACAGGTGAATGCGTATTATTCAATAGGAGTGTGTGCATGCATTGAGTTATTGAGCTTGTTTTAGCTGATTTCATGGGGCTACAGATGACAAACAATCCCTTCCATTTATGACTTATTTCATTGGCAACTGCTATTATTTTATTGTACTGTTCAACAGCATTTGCATAGAAAAAGCAATCTCTTCTATTATAAAAGTGTGTGCTGTCTCTTTAAGAAAGTAATGAAGTTGAAGAAGTTAATGAGTTTTTGGTGGTGAGAGAGAATAAGTGAATTAAAGTTTAATTAAGTTTTTGGTGACAATCAGCTTTGAATTCATCATATTTTGCATTATGGTATCACAAATTCATTCAGCTGTAAGCTAGCAAGGAAAGTTAGCCTACAATTAAATCTGGAAGCTACCGGTATCGTCTTGCATTGTAAAAGTGTTCTGGCATGTATGGACATTGTTTTGCGAACAGTAATGAACAGTGTCATCTTCTATACATGCCGTCTTGCATTATTCAAGTCTGTTAACTTCTGTGCAGCATGAGTGGGGGAGCAGCCCAGACGGCTTTAGCAATGAATGAGTAAGTGGAGCAGGTTCTTTTCTCTTCACGCTATAAAGGGGAGCTGATAGACTTAATCCTCTCAATCATGTGAGACACATTTGACAGAAGTACCAAACATAACAATTCTAGGATTGTTTTTGTTTAATTGAATAAGTACAGAAGTTTCGGTATACTGTGCAACGCTAGGAGGAGTAGGCAATAAGTGGTTTATATGATAGTGTGCAGGTTCTGAGGTGTTGCTCCTCTCTTCCAGACACCATGGAGGAGCTGCACAGCCTGGACCCCCGGAGACAGGAGCTGTTGGAGGCTCGATTCATGGGCGGGGTCAGTGGCAGCACTGGGGGCAGCACTGGCAGCACAAGCGGGGGAACCAAAGTGAGTGAGCGTGCCTCAAACCCCCGATAATCCTCATACACTCACACAGTGTTTCCCCTATATTCATTTAGCAGCGGTGCCCCGCCACTGCTAAATCATTGACGCCACTCCCAAAAATATGATTACACTTTATGTATATATACATGCATGCATGCATACTGAACAAAAATATAAACGCAACAATTTCAAAGATTTTACTGAGTTACAGTTCATATAAGCAAATCAGTCAATTGAAATAAATAAATTAGGCCCTAATCGATGGATTTCACACGACTGGGAATACAGATATGCAACTATTGGTAACGGATGCCTAAAAAAAAAAAAAAAAAAGGGGCGTGGATCAGAAAACCAGTCAGTATCTGGTGTGACCACCATTTGCCTCATGCAGCGTGACACATCTCCTTCGCATAAAGTTGATCAGGCTGTTGATTGTGGCCAGTGGAATGTTTTCCCACTTCTCAATGGCTGTGAGAAGTTGCTGTGTATTGGTGGGAACTGGAACACGGCTTTTGTACACGTCGATCTAGAGCATCCCAAACATACTCAATGGTGACATGTCTGGCGAGTATGCAGGCCATGGAAGAACTGGGACCATTTTCAGCTTCCAGGAATAGTGTACAGATCCTTGCGACATGGGGCCGTGCATTATCATGCTGTAACATGAGTTGATGGCGGCAGATGAATGGCATGACAATGGGCCTCAGGATCTCGTCACGGTATCGCTGTGCATTCAAATTGCCATCGATAAAATGCAATTGTGTTCGTTGTCCGTAGCTTATGCCTGCCCATACCATAACTCCACCGCCACCATGGGGCACTCTGTTCACAACGTTGACATCAGCTAACCGCTCACTCACACGACGCCATACACACTGCCACCTGCCTGGTACAGTTGAAATCGGCGTTCATCCGTGAAGAGCACACTTCTCCAGCGTGCCAGTGGTCTTCGAAGGTGAGCAATTGCCCACTGATGTCGGTTACGACTCCGAACTGCAGTCAGGTCAAGACCCCGGTGAGGACGATGAGCACGCAGATGAGCTTCCCTGAAATGGTTTCTGACAGTTTGTGCAGAAATACTTAGTTTGTGCAAACCTACAGTTTAATCAGCTGTCCGGGTGGCCGTTCTCAGACGATCCCGCAGGTGAAGAAGCCGGATGTGGAGGTCCTGGGCTGGCATGGTTACACATCATATGCGGTTGTGAGGCCAGTTGGGCGTACTGCCAAATTCACTAAAATTATGTTTCAAAATAATATTCTAATGAACTTCTGTTTTGATTTCAGGCCTTGACAAATAATGAATGTTCAAATCAAAGTTTTGGAAGCCTGGGGTCCTCCAGTGACAAAGAGTCAGAGGTATGTTTATTAACATGATGTTCTTACAGTTTTAGTGAAAAATGATAATGTTATCATCAATGTGCAGTTTGTTTGAACAGGCTGTCGGACAGTATAACTGGTATCCACGGCTTTTCTGGATTTGTTTCTTTAGTCTTTGACATTCCATCTTGTTTGGATTAGACCTATGTTTTGATTGGATGTGGGCTGGTTGGTGTGAGCAGGGAGTTCACACGGAGAGAGAGGGAGAGGAGCTGGGCCCTCTTATCCTCCTTGTCGCTGGTGAAAACGTCAGACGCAACCTAAGATGGAGCTAGAGAGTAAAAATGTGCGGAATCTTGCTGTAATTAAACTGCGTTCTTGTGACTCATAATGCCACGAGCTCTTACCTCTCTGTACAAACACGGTCTGTGCCTCTGCCAGGGCAGCTTGATCACGGGCATCTTCATCCTGCATGCTGAGTCTGAGCCTCCCTCCACGCTGCTCTCCTGTGTTTGGCAGCACAGCTTGCTAATGAAGGGAAAACACAAATGGCTTACAATTTGGAGGGGCACAGCCTGTGTGTGGGGTGGTGGACTGTAGGGTTAACCTAAGTCTGAACCTCTGCAATGTGGAGTGTGCAAGTAAATAAGCAGCCTGACTGTGCGGGTGACTGTCTGCTCCCCTCCCCTCTGTGTAGTTCATCGGCTGTTGTAATAAGTCACTGATGGAGGCCTGTGTGCGAGCATGATCGAGGAGGGGAGAGAGAGGAGGCAGAATAAACCCTCTCTGGCCTTCTCTGCCGCAGAGATGATGAATCTGCACAGATGTCACCCAAACAGATGCCCCCCATTTGTCACACACTCCCTAATGATGCACTGGTGACACTGTCAGACCAGCACCTGTCAGCAGATTCCCTGCACAAGGCTCTGTCCTGGTTCTGGGGCCTGTAAATCTTGTTTTGTAAAAATATCAAGAGGATTCCTGTGCTCTGTTGAAATGGGCTCCTCTTTTTAGACTTAGATTTGGTTAGTGTTTTTCGCAGTTTAAGCATTTCTATGCATGCTTTTTTTTGTAGGGCAGAAATAATCCTCATATCCTCTATCTTGATGAATGAAAATGGTTAATTTAGCTGATTCCTTGCTTTGTTTGGCAATACCTTGTTTTCTTATGTTTAGCTCAAACTGATTTGAATCACAGACATTAGAAAAGGCTAGTTAGTCTGTGCTACAGTTTAGTTATCTCCTGTAGTCGCTTTTCCTCTTTATTTCTCACAGCCTTTGGCCCAAAACTGCCAACAAGGGGCTGCGTCGGTCATAGATAAGCATCCTCTCCCCACTTGAAATTCTTGCACAACTACCTCATTAAAGCTTTCCATTACAATGAATCTCTTTCAAAACAGGCTAATTATAAACTAGATTAGTTATGTATTTTAGTTTTACGTTGAACTCATTCTCTGTACCCCTCCTGCCTTTCTTTTTTGTTTGCAGAGCTCAGACGTGAAAAGGGGGAGCTCTCCTGCATACTCGGTAGGTGCTCATTGTATTTGGATACTAGGCTATGTTCCCCGTCATTTGTCAGCTACTGGGCGGCAGGCAGCATTGGTCGGTCAGTTCACCTACATTCAGGAACTCCCTAGCAGGCTGTAGACTTGGGTTTTATGTGTTGCTGCTGCTACAGTATATTCACTATGCTTTTGTTTTTCAAACACAGACATTTAATCCTAATCTGGACATTTTCAAGGAATCAAAATAACTGTATTTGTACAACCTACCAGATGATAGTGGTCATTAGTGAAACTCAGTTTCTCTTTTACAGACTCCTGAAAAGAAACACTCTGAATTGTCCAGAGGAAGAAAAAGGAAACCTGACATCCAGTCAGAAAGCAGCCAAGGTAACTTTCCTCAAGCTGTTTCTTTTATGCTCCAGATACACAGTCATCGCTGTATAAAAGTCAATGCTAATTATATTTTCTCTCTCACAGGGAAGTCTATTGTGCGAGGACCCAAAATTAGTGATTATTTTGATGTAAGTTACTATTTTTTGGGGGGGGAGCAGCATTCTAAATGTGTTAAATAGAAATTCTACTCTTAACGTGAGTGAGCTGTGCTAAGTCCCTGTGTAGTGGAGCACCACGTTTGATGTTCAGCTGAGAGGTTTTGTGTTTTTAGAGAATATCATTGAAGCCGTGATGTGATCCATTTCACACAGAGGCCAGCTCTGAAATAAACAAAACAGGCACAGAAAGCCTCCTTTATTCCGGTTTTGTTGCCAAGTGGCAGGCAATGATGTCACTCACACTGGTGGCCTCTCTTTCTCCAGTTCCATGGAGGGAACGGGTCCAGTCCTGTGAGAGGTCTCCCCTCTGTGATCCGCTCACCCCAGAACTCACATTCCCACTCCGTGCAGGGTTCCAGTGTAAGTTACCCCATAACCACTTCAATTTGTTTATCGCTTGTTGGTTTTTAAACATATGAAGAAAGCAAGTAGCCTTGTCCAAGACCGAATGGCCCATTTTAAACATAGTCAATGTTTCGAAGAAATTGACGGTACCATTTAGATATGCTAACAATTGTTGTCCCTTGGGTTTCAGACTAGGCAAAACAGCTCATCGCCTACGAGTCTGTCTTTTGGGGACCATGTGATGCATCCAAAGCAGTTAGCAATCAAATGTGTGCAGGTGAGGATGACCACCACTATAGTATGTGTGTTCAGCACTTTGGATTGTGTGTTTAGAACAAATTCTTAACACATTCTTTATTTGTTTTTAATTGCAGACTGACCTGACGGGGCTAAAGTTGGCTGCCCTTGAAAGTAACAAGAACCTGGACCTTGAGAAAAAAGAAGGAAGAATAGATGATTTGCTTAGAGTAAGGAAAAGATGGCTAATGGGCACAAACAACACATCAGCGGAACATTCTTAACTCCCTCATTGAGTTTAAGCGTCAGTGATGTATTACTGTGACACCACTGAACACACAGATCAATTAAAACGTCTCATCGTGCTGCACGTAGACTTAAAGTACGTACAAAAATGTGTGTTATTCAATGCTAGACTGACATGCTTGGAAAGTTAACTGCAACGGTCTTATTTCTACGATAAGAGTGAGGGCTTTGGTTTTACTAGGATTGTAATATGATAAACCTAATTTGTTTCTTCTCCATAGGCAAACTGTGATCTCAGGAGACAGATAGACGAACAACAGAAATTACTTGAAAAGTACAAAGAACGCTTAAATAAATGCATCACCATGAGCAAGAAGTTGCTCATAGAAAAGGTACTTCCCTTTTTATTTCAAGGCGAAATGTCTGAAGCTAGCGCGTCTAGTTTTTTTACATTGACAAGTCTGTATGAGTGCAGTGGTATGAGTACTCAGTCAGTGATGTCTGTCATTGTGTTTGTGTTGCCTAGAGCACCCAGGAGAAGCAGGCGTGCCGGGAAAAGAGTATGCAGGACAGACTACGATTAGGCCATTTCACCACTGTGCGACATGGCGCCTCCTTCACAGAGCAGTGGACCGATGGCTTTGCCTTCCAAAACCTAGTCAAGTTGAGTATCTTAGTCTCCGGGTCAAAGTTTTCTCAAGTCAACTTAACTTTCTCAACTGTGATATGGTTATCAAGCTACACGTCGTTCTCTTTCAACAAAGTTCAATCTGTTCAGGTATCGAAAATATATTTGTAGAATTTGTACTGGAATTTCTACTGAAGTGTATCATTTTCCTCTTATTCTAAAGCCTTATCCAGGGTAAAACACTAGCTTGGCAGAAATTGTATTGATTAGAACATCTTTATCTGCAGACAGCAAGAGTGGATAAATCAACAGAGGGAAGAAATCGAGAAGCAGAGAAAACTCCTAGCCAAGAGGAAACCCCCATCATCCAGCAACTCCCAAGCACCAACCACAAACTCTGAGCCAAAGCAACGCAAAACCAAGGCAGTGAATGGAGCGGAGAATGATCCCTTTCTCAAGCCCAGCCTACCTCAGCTGTGAGTGCCCTTGTCCTCCCGACGTTTGGCTTAGCTAAGCACACCAAGACGCTAGATATCTATGAACAAAGATGCCTGATCCTGTTGCTTTCATTTTCTCATGGTCTTTTGTTGGTTCATTCCAAAGGTTGACTCTAGCTGAGTACCACGAGCAGGAAGAGATCTACAAACTACGACTCGGGCATCTCAAAAAGGTCAGTGTGCCAACCTGGCAGGTCTAGGCATCACGAGCTGACCTTTTTTTGTTTACTGTGTCACATTGATCATCAAGTCAATTAAATAGGGATTAGACATCCTGACTCTGTTCCCTGATATAGAACCACAAACAGTTCCACTCTGCTTAGAGATTCTGTGGACATTTTCCCAATCCCCAACCTATAGTTAATTCTATTGTTTCCCTGGTGAATAAGCATCAAGAGGGATTGCCCTAGACAGACTTGCTACCAATTCAACCGCTAGTCAGCCGAGGTATAGAAGTGGGTTTTGATGAGCTCCCCTCTCCTTGTAGTCAGTCCTCTGATGTTCCTCTGTATGTTTGTGTGTGTGAATCATTTATAGGAAGAAGCTGAAATCCAGGTGGAGCTGGAGCGTCTGGAGAGAGTGCGGAACCTTCACATTCGGGAACTTAAGAGAATAAATAACGAGGACAGTTCACAGTGAGTCTGATCACTGGCATCTCTGTGACGTCAGGGCATACGCACAGGGGCTCCTGCTGACAACCATAGAGATTGTTCAGTTAGACACTGGAGAGGCAGTAATGGCCATGTCATGGTGCTTGCCACAGTATGTCACAAGTCATTCTGAATGTCTGTGTTTTCCATTCTGCCAGTCGATGTAAAATGAGATCCCTCTTTAAGAACTTAATCTTTCTATGGATTGGTCGTTTTTGAGTTGGTGAAAGTCCTACCAACGAGTTAATTCGTAAAGAGAGTCTGACCTTGTTTTGTTTCTTTGAAAGATTCAAAGACCATCCGACTTTGAACGAGCGGTATCTACTGTTACATCTTCTGGGAAGAGGAGGCTTTAGTGAAGTTTACAAGGTGAGTTTATATTCAACCTGTGTATTCATCAGTTGCATCTACAAGTCTTTGTTTGAATGGACCAGTCAGAACTTTTCTGTTATAGGCGTTTGACCTGATTGAGCAACGCTATGCTGCTGTGAAAATTCACCAGCTCAACAAGAACTGGAGAGAGGAGAAAAAGGAGAACTATCACAAGTATGTTCGACATTAAATCGTTGCCATTTTCTGCATGTTGTATTCATCAACACTGTGGCGGTATCGATTCAGTTTTATGAATCACCGTGACGATGGAGTTTTTATTTATTTACTTGTAATGCACAGGCTTTAAGCCTATCATTATTCTACTCCATCAGCTTAATGTCTGGGTTATCCAGTCAATCAGTCATACCTCCACTTCGCTGCGCTCCTACTGCCTGGAGTCATTCAGTTGGTTGCCCATGGTAACTGGTCACCTTGTTGCAGACACGCCTGTCGGGAGTACAGAATACACAAGCAGCTGGACCACCCCAGAATCGTCAAGCTGTATGACTACTTCTCACTGGACACAGACACGTAAGTTAACCTTGCTTATTGTACTGACAATACAGCGCATTCGGAAAGTATTCAGACCCCTTGACCTTTTCCACATTTTGTTACGTTACAGCCTTATTCTAAAATGAATGTAATAGTTTTTCCCCCCCTCTCATCAATCTACACACAATACCCCATAATGACAAAGCAAAAACAGGATTTTCTAACCTTTTGCAAATGTATTAAAAATAAAACACTGAGTGTATTCAAACCCTTTACTCAGTACTTTGTTGAAGCGCCTTTGGCAGCAATTACAGCCTCAAGTCTTCTTGGGTATGACGCTACAAGCTTGACACACCTGTATTTGGGGAGTTTCTCCCATTCAGATCCTCTCAAGCTCTGTCAGGTTTCTCATGGTCTGAGAGTCTTTAGGTGACTTTTGGCAAAATCCAAGCGGGCTGTCGTGCCTTTTACTGAGTGGCTTCCGTCTGGCCACTCTACCATAAAGGCCTGATTGGTGGAGTGCTGCAGAGATGGTTGTCCTTCTGGAAGGTTCTCTCATCTCCACAGAGGAACTCTGGAGCTCTGTCAGAGTGACCATGGGGTTCTTGGTCACCTCCCTGACCAAGGCCCTTCTCCCCGATTGCTCAGTTTGGCCGGGCAGCCAGCTCTAGGAAATGTCTTGCTGGTTCCAAACTTCTTCCATTTAAGAATGACGGAGGCCACTGTGTTCTTGGGAGCCTTCAATGCTGCAGAACTGTTTTGGTACCCTTCCCCAGATCTGTGCCTTGACACAATCCTGTCTCTGAACTCTACGGACAATTCCTTCGACCTCATGGCTTGGTTTTTGCTCTGACATGCACTGTCAACTGTGGGACCTTTTTATATAGACAGGTGTGTGCCTTTCCAAGTCATGTCCAATCAATGAATGTACCACAGGTGGACTCCAATCAAGTTGTAGAAACATATCTCAAGGATGATCAATGGAAACAGGATGCACCTGAGCTCAATTTCGAGTCTCATAGGAAAGGGTCTGAATACTTATGTAAATAAGGTATTTTATTATTCTTTATACATTTGTAAAAACCTGTTCGCTTTGTCATTATGGGGTATTGTGTGTAGATAGATGAGAAAAAAAGATGTAATCCATTTTAGAATAAGGCTGTAACGTAACAAAGTGTGGAAAAAGTGAAGGGGTCTGAATACTTTCTGAATGCACTTTATATTCTCACGACATCCTATCGTCACTGCCTTTTACACATTTCTCCTTTTATGATGCCCCCACAGGTTTTGCACAGTTTTGGAGTACTGTGAAGGCAATGACCTGGACTTCTACTTGAAGCAGCACAAGCTGATGTCTGAGAAGGAGGCCCGCTCCATCGTCATGCAGATTGTGAATGCTCTCCGATACCTGAATGAAATCAAGCCCCCCATCATCCACTATGACCTCAAGCCAGGTGAACGCACGCTCACACACACACACACACCGGAATTATATCCCATTCTGGTAACCCTGTAAAGAGCTCCCAATTATTTCTGATGCTATGTGCTCATTTGTTCTGTTCCAATTTCAAGGTAACATCCTGCTTGTGGATGGCACAGCTTGTGGGGAAATCAAAATCACAGACTTCGGTTTGTCCAAAATCATGGATGACGACAGCTACGGTGCAGATGGCATGGACCTGACATCACAAGGAGCAGGGACCTACTGGTAAAAGAAATGCCACCATATACACATCTGTATCATGGGACCAGCATGTGGTTTGGGTGATATGATGCTTGACATATGGGCAGATATCATTTTGTTTTTGTTTTCTCAAAGGTACTTGCCACCGGAGTGTTTTGTTGTTGGCAAAGAACCTCCAAAGATCTCCAACAAGGTGGACGTGTGGTCTGTGGGCGTCATCTTTTTCCAGTGTTTGTATGGAAGAAAAGTATGTTTTAAAGAGAACTGGTTTTATTGACTTACGAAAATGAGTGTCGTGAAAATATGTTAACTCGTCGCCTTATTTCTGTTTCAGCCGTTCGGCCACAATCAGTCTCAGCAGGATATCCTGCAGGAGAACACAATACTTAATGCAACCGAAGTTCAGTTTCCTGTCAAGCCTGTTGCCAGTAATGAAGCAAAGGTGAGAGAGAATTTGTGTTCTGAATATTACCATCTGACTGCAATTGTCACTTCTACTTAATCTTCTTTTATAATAGTTTGGCATTTTTTTATGATTGATCAATTCCTGTATTTAGCGTTGCTTTTGTCGAGACCTCTAGTGTTCATAGTAAGGCACAGACAGACATTACAGCCCCTTTTGAGACGCTTTTCTGTCCAGCCATAAAAGTTATGATCACCAGCATACTCAACATATTGCTCCAATGTTTCATTTTAATTGGTTCTCAGTGCTGTGTTTTGAACAATGTCTCCTTTATTCCCTAAGTCCTTTATAAGGCGCTGCCTGGCATACAGGAAGGAGGACAGGTTTGATGTTCACCAGCTGGGAAGGGATTCTTACCTGCTCCCTCATATGAGGAGGTCCAACTCTACAGGGAACCTGCAGCTGGGTGCTGGTGGCTCAGGACCTGCCTCCTCCAGCATAATTTCATACTGAGGGCTGGCCCTGGACTGACTGAATTACTGACTGGCTGGCCCACGCCTGCAGAGCCCCCTCACCCACAGGACCGTGTGAGAGGAGTTGCCTGCCAACTAGCGGTGTATGGAAGGACGAGGGGGTCCGTTGGCCATAGACACTGCAGACTGAATGGTGTGGAGTTTGGCCTTCGCCTGGACTGTGCTGGGTTTCAAATGGGTGTTTTCTAAAGACTAATGAAAGGATGTTTAAAGAACATAAGTGAATGACATTGTAAAGGTTGAATAGCGCACTGCTACAGACAAAGTACCTTAAAGAAATGTGACTGGACACTTGTGAGTTTGGTTTGCTGGTGGAAGCCTAAGGGATACCTGGCAGCCCGCCATTTAGAATAATTAACATGCTCCTGCAAGGGTGCAAATGCTTAAGCTGCAAGGAGTTTCCTTAAGGAGCGGACATTCATAGTTTTTGTAGCTCAACAATGATTTCACCATCAATTTGGCTGTATGTTTGGTTTTTTGTTTTCAGAGAAAGTGTTAGGCTTTAATTTGAGTTGTACAATTAGCCATGAGAATGTAATTTTAGCATACAAGTTGCATCTATTGTCATTTAGGCCCAGGCAGCATACTAATGTTGAATGCACAAAATAACCAAATGTAGACAAATGGCAATGTACAGAATAATATGCAGGACGATTTAAAATAATTCCTTCAAGAGTAAATGTATATTTTCTGTACAGAAGATGATTTTGAATTGCAGCTGTACCATTCTGTACCAAGGTTGAACAATTTCCCTTACTTGTACATTTGATGTCCTGGAGTGTTTTCATTTAGCTGCTTTTGATGTTACTCTTACTTTTTAAAGGGCTGTATGATCCACTTTGGGTACAATTGTACAGTTCTGTAAAAATAATTCATGATGACTATGATAATAAATACCAGGAAATCACAGCATGCCATATAAGTGACTTCTTTTGGAGACATTGGTGGGAGAAGTGCGCCTGTGTTCCATTGACTTGTGTATATTTTGATGGATAAGGACGTCATTATTGAAACGGGGGAAGATAAAAGTAGGATGAGTACACCTTGTCGTTGCGGTCAGGCATCTGCGACCGACGAGATGGGGAATGAAGAGCTAGGTGACCGTCAGGTTATTTGTGGGTATGATGGAGTTCCTTACACTGCCCAATAAGACAGTAGGCTTGCGTTGGTTCTAATGCTAGCAGCAACTGGGAGCCAGCACCAATATCTTCTGTTCCACTGACCATCGAAAAACTTAGCACAAAATGTTGAAGGGCTCAATAGACCCTATGCTACGTGCATTAGGCCTACAGAGTGGTGAATCGTGCACATTTCCATGTAACACTTTTGAACTTCATTTGGGGAATAATTGTTTGAACCTACTTGGATCTTTAGCAACAAACATGAGTGTTTCATTTGCATATAAAGTATGACGTATCCGTAATGAATATTTTTTACCCAACATGTACACTTCACGAACTTTGTAATTGTGAGTGCGCAATGAACAATCCCATTGCAAAGGAATATACTCAGCTGAACAATGTCACATTTCATTGTGGTCCTACACTGACACCCTGTGGTTTTAAAAGTATGAGTGTGAACTCATACAAAGAGTACACAAGACGAAAAATACACCCATTTAATCAAGAAAGGGATGATTCAATTACACACTCATTCATATTCATTGTTTTAGTACTTTTTGTACAAGCTGAAGCATTAGATTCCGCGATTAGAATTTTTGGACTTAAATTGATATGGACCTATTGATTCTTGGAGAATATAACTTTTAAATGCCTCATGAGCAGAGTTCAGGTTCTTTATGGGTTACCATAGTTGAAATATAAGCTTGTTTTACTCCAATGTTTGTAAACACACACAGCCTCAAAACATGGTTAAAACTATAATTTTGATATCATGGACAGTCAGTCCATGCATCATAGCTCTGTCTATGAATTTGAGTGGTTACATTTCCCCAGCCCCATCCCTCAGCTTTTTCCCAAAATGGGTGGGGAGCACGCATTATTGTTTCTACTGCTGATTGCTACTTTGAGCTCACATACAGTGGGGAAAAAAAGTATTTAGTCAGCCACCAATTGTGCAAGTTCTCCCACTTAAAAAGATGAGAGAGGCCTGTAGTTTTCATCATAGGTACATGTCAACTATGACAGACAAAATGAGAAAATAAAATCCAGAAAATCACATTGTAGGATTTTTAATGAATTTATTTGCAAATTATGGTGGAAAATAAGTATTTGGTCAATAACAAAAGTTTCTCAATACTTTGTTATATACCTTTGTTGGCAATGACACAGGTCAAACGTTTTCTGTAAGTCTTCACAAGGTTTTCACACACTGTTGCTGGTATTTTGGCCCATTCCTCCATGCAGATCTCCTCTAGAGCAGTGATGTTTTGGGGCTGTCGCTGGGCAACACGGACTTTCAACTCCCTCCAAAGATTTTCTATGGGGTTGAGATCTGGAGACTGGCTAGGCCACTCCAGGACCTTGAAATGCTTCTTACGAAGCCACTCCTTTGTTGCCCGGGCGGTGTGTTTGGGATCATTGTCATGCTGAAAGACCCAGCCACGTTTCATCTTCAATGCCCTTGCTGATGGAAGGAGGTTTTCACTCAAAATCTCACGATACATGGCCCCATTCATTCTTTCCTTTACACGGATCAGTCATGGACTGGACATGTACTGGCTTAAGCAGGGGGACACGTCTGGCACTGCAGGATTTGAGTCCCTGGCGGCGTAGTGTGTTACTGATGGTAGGCTTTGTTACTTTGGTCCCAGCTCTCTGCAGGTCATTCACTAGGTCCCCCCGTGTGGTTCTGGGATTTTTGGTCACCGTTCTTGTGATCATTTTGACCCCACGGGGTGAGATCTTGCGTGGAGCCCCAGATCGAGGGAGATTATCAGTGGTCTTGTATGTCTTCCATTTCATAATAATTGCTCCCACAGTTGATTTCTTCAAACCAAGCTGCTTACCTGTTGCAGATTCAGTCTTCCCAGCCTGGTGCAGGTCTACAATTTTGTTTCTGGTTCCTTTGACAGCTCTTTGGTCTTGGCCATAGTGGAGTTTGGAGTGTGACTGTTTGAGGTTGTGGACAGGTGTCTTTTATACTGATAAAAAGTTCAAACAGGTGCCATTAATACAGGTAACGAGTGGAGGACAGGGGAGCCTCTTAAAGAAGAAGTTACAGGTCTGTGAGAGCCAGAAATCTTGCTTGTTTGTAGGTGACCAAATACTTATTTTCCACCATAATTTGCAAATAAATTCATTAAAAATCCTACAATGTGATTTTCTGGATTTTTTCTCAATTTGTCTGTCATAGTTGACGTGTACCTATGATGAAAATTACAGGCCTCATCTTTTTAAGTGGGAGAACTTGCACAATTGTTGGCTGACTAAATACGTTTTTTCCCCACTGTATGCAGCGTTTACCGTGAATACAGTCTCCACTAAAGGAACATTGCCTTTAAATTTATATCACGCTGTAAAGCTGAACTTCCGCAACACAGATTGAATAGAGACCGTAGCTTGTTGTAATGCAGTATCAATTTACTAAAGTGGGTCTCTCACACAATTCTCCCATCCTTCTGAGGACTCTTGCTGTTGTTTCAACAACCATGGCTACATCATGATTCTACACCCTTTTTCCAGTGTGCACTTGGCTGCACACTTCCCATCATGAATTTAACAGTGGGGGGAAAAAACACACTCGCCAATGATTACACCAATCCAGAGCATGTAAATCCATGACAGGAAGTGTGCAAGTATACACACTTTTAGAAAATAGTGGAGAATTAGGGGTGCAACCATAGTTTCAGTAGTACAACTAGAAGTGTTTCCAGATTATTTATTGTTGAGTTTTAAATACAATAGAGCTTGTTGGTAGATGGTTCTCTGTTAGGAGGACTCAGAGGTCACTGCTGCTTCTGTTGGTTCAAAGGAGGCCACTGGTGTAGGGAGGAGTGTTTCTGTCAATGTGTCAATGACCACTGGGGCACTGGAGGATTTTGCATTCAGCATGAGGGCAGGTCTCTGCTCATAGGAGACTTTGATGCTTGCGGAGACAGGTGGAAGAGTGAACTCAGATGGAGGCAGAGTTACCCCTGGGACCAGGGGCAGCTGGGAGTTGAGCATGGATAGATTTAGGGGAGGAAGAGGGGCCAATGGAGGGAAACCTGAGGAACATAGGTGGAACATTTTAGCAATATTACTGAAAGTAGTATTCAAATAAACATACAGTACCAGTCAAAAGTTTGGACACACCTACTCATTCAAGGGTTTTTCTTTATTTGTACTACTTTCTACATTGTAGAATAATAGTGAAGACATCAAAACTATGAAATAACACATATGGAATCATGTAGTAACCAAAAAAAGTGTTAAATCAAAATATATTTTATATTCTTCAAAGTAGCCACCCTTTGCCTTGATGACAGCTTTGCACACTCTTGGCATTCTCTCAACCAGCTTCATGAGGTAGTCACCTGGAATGCATTTCAATTAACAGGTGTGCCTTGTTAAAAGTTAATTTGTGGAATTTATTTCCTTCTTAATGCATTTGAGCCAACCAGCTGTGTTGTGACAAGGTAGCGGTGGTATACAGAAGATAGCCCTATTTGGTAAAAGACCAAGTTCATATTATGGCAAGAACAGCTCAAATTTACATTTTAGTCATTTAGCAGTGGCAAATAAGCAAAGAGAAACGACAGTACATCATTACTTTAAGACATGAAGGTCAGTCAATGCAGAACATGTCAAGAACTTTGAACGTTTCTTCAAGTGCAGTCGCAAAAACCATCAAGCGCTATGATGAAACTGGCTCTCATGAGGACTGCCACAGGAAAGGAAGACCCAGAGTTACCTCTGCTACAGAGGATAAGTTCATTAGAGTTACCAGCCTCAGAAATTGCAGCCCAAATAAATGCTTCAGAGTTCAAGTAACAGACACATCAACATCAACTGTTCAGAGGGGACTGTGTGAATCAGGCCTTCATGGTCGAATTGCTGCAAAGAAACCACTACTAAAGGACACCAATAAGAAGAAAATACTTGCTTGGGCCAAGAAACACGAGCAATGGACATTAGACCGGTGGAAATCTGTCCTTTGGTCTGATGAGTCTAAATTTGAGATTTTTAGTTCCAACCGCTGTGTCTTTGTGAGACGCAGAGTAGGTGAACGGATTATCTCCGCATGTGTGGTTCCCACTGTGAAGCATGGAGGAGGTGGTGTGGGGGGGCTTTGCTGGTGACACGGTCTGTGATTTATTTAGAATTCAAGGCACACTTAACCAGCATGGCTAACACAGCATTCTGCAGCGATACGCCATCCCATCTGGTTTGTGCTCAGTGGGACTATCATTTGTTTTTCAACAGGACAATGACCCAAAACACACCTCCAGGCTGTGTAAGGGCTATTTGACCAAGGAGAGTGATGGAGTGCTGCATCAGATGACCTGGCCTCCACAATCCCCCGACCTCAACCAAATTGAGATGGCTTGGGATGAGTTGGACCGCAGAGTGAAGGAAAAGCAGCCAACAAGTGCTCAGCACATGTGGGAACTCCTTCAAGACTGTTGGAAAAGCATTCCGCATGAAGCTGGTTGAGAGAATGCCAAGAGTGTGCAAAGCTGTCATCAAGGCAAAGGGTGGCTACTTTGAAGAATCTAAAATAGAAAATATATTTTGAATTGTTTAACACTTTTTTGGTTACTACATGATTCCATATGTGTTATTTCATAGTTTTGATGTCTTCACTATTATTATTCTACAATGTAGAAGAAAAAAAATCTTGAATGAGTGGGTGTGTCCAAACTTTTGACTGGTACTGTACATCTTAAAAACCATCAAAGAATCTTGAAAACATTGACAGTACCTGCTGGTGGCATCCCTCCAATACCTGGTAACGATACAGTGCCGAAGTCTGGCAAAGTGAAATTCAAATTGGGCAGGTTGGGAAGGGGAGGTAGGCCTCCGGGTAACGACATTAGACCTGTACAGGAAATATGAATATAATTAAATACACAAAGCCACATGCAAATTATACATGCAGGATAATATTGTTACCAAACTAGAACCGTGTCTAACACATACCTGGTAACGTGGTAGCAGGGAGGATTGGAGGTACAGTGCTTAGCAGGGGGCCGACTTGGCTAGGCAACAGTGGTACAGTAGGTACTCCTTGGACAAACACAAACCATCGTAATCAAATCAAATCCATTTTTATTTGTCACATGCGCCGAATACAACAGGTGTAGACCTTACCGTGAAATGCTTACTTACAAGCCCTTAACCAACAATGCAGTTCAAGAAATAGTTAAGAAAATATTTACTAAATAAACTAAAGTAAAAAATAAAATAAAAAGTAACACAATAAAATAACGAGGCTATATACAGGGGGTACCAGTACCGAGTCAAGGTAATTTGTATATGTAGGTAGGGGTAAAGTGACTATGCATAGATAATAAACAGCAAGTAGCAGCAGTGTAAAAACAAAGGAGGGGGGTGTCAATGTAAATAGTCTGGGTGGCCTTTTGATTAATTGTTTAGCAGTCTTATGGATTGGGGGTAGAAGCTGTTAAGGAGCCTTTTGGACCTAGACTTGGCACTCCGGTACCGCTTGCCGTGCGGTAGCAGAGAGAACAGTCTACGACTTGGGTGACTGGAGTCTTTGACAATTTTTTGGGCCTTCCTCTGTCATCACCTAGTATACTAATCTTTTACGTGGTGATATCAAGTCAGTAAGCAATATGCATCTAAATGAAGAGTAGTGATACCTAGCACACCTGTTTGTAGAGCGTTTGGGACAGTGGGAGGAGCTGAGCTGATTGACAGGTCAGAGAGATGTTGTTCCAACCCAGTAGGAGCAGAAGGCACTGCAGGTTGAGGACTGACAGCAGAGAGCTGAACCTGAGGGACAAATTAAAACTGGGATCAACACCTGGAGCTGTAGAATATTCTCATTGTATACAAATTCCCTCATGTGACTGGCAGGTATTGGGAGTGAAAAGAAGTCGGTAATTTACAAAAATGTTTTACCTCTGTGAAGCCATCTTTGAGTGAGGAAACCGGTTCACTTGGAATCTGTCCAGGGAAACTGATCTTCTTACCCTCTTCAAATGGCTGTGTGGGTATCCTGTGTAGGTAGCCATAGCCAATCCCACAGCCTAGGCTGAATAAGGGCAGAGAGTTAGTGTGCTACGAGGCAGCCTATCGGCATGTCAGCTAAATGAATTAACAACAAATGTCAATGCCATACCTGCCCTCTCCCCCCCACTCAGAGTTTGGAGTGATGACCACCTCCCGACAGTTGTCCGTGTCAGTGTTATACACATACAACTTAAGCCCTTTCCCTTCATGCGTTTCAATGAGGGAGAAGAGATCTTCAGACTGCGGGGAAACCAAAGTCAAACACTATAACAATCATCATCATCAACAGCTTAGTGTAGGGAGAACATAATTGAATTGTCACTAAAGAAAGGCATTCCACATACCTCGTTCATGACAGTGTCTGCACCTATGATGTAGTCAGTGTGTGGTCTCAAACCAGCCAGGGCTGCAGGAGAATTTGGCTCCACTTCCTGAGGACAAGAAATAGAATACAGACCGATATTGTAAATAAATGCACTCTGGTTACTGAAAGTCTTCACATCATGATTAGGCTACACATCATGGCATTTCCAGTTTTACATTCATTAATGTCCACAGCTCTAAACTTCAAGGCGATTCACTCACCAAAACATGCCAGACATTCTCATTGGCTCCTTCGAAGCTGCAGAATCGGATGCTGACACCCAGCAGCCCCTGGCCTCCCCACATGTTGCTGGGTGTGACTGTTGTCTCCCTCAGCTCAAGTGTCTTGCTGCTGTATACCAGCATCTTGATGGGTTTCTCCACATTCACCTTCAGCATGTCTTTTAACGTGTCATTATCTTTGTTCTGACAAAAATGAAGACGTTAGCAGATGTTAAAGGGTTTTGACTAGGTGGTATACAGCTACGATGTGACTTTTTCGTAGCAGGTTAGGAGAACTTACACAGCAGGTTAGGAGAACTTACACAGCAGGTTAGGATAACTTATACAGCAGGTTTAGAGAATGAATGTAGCAGGATCAGGATAATTAGGTTAGGGTTAGGAAAAGGGCTAGGGTTAGGTAAAATGCTCTCCTAACCTGCTACAAAAAGTAACTTCTGGTTGTAACTACCTAGTCACAACCATGTTAAAGTGCATCACCTGTAAACAAAGTTAGTCCACCTATTGGTTGTCTTGTATCCCTGGCTTTGAAAATATTTGAGCTGCAAGGGATCTGACAGATACAGGAGGTAGATAATTCGAGAAATGACAGCTTACCAATCTTGTGTCACTGATGGAAATAATAAAGTCAAAGAATGGTTCCAATCCTGCACGATGACCAGGGGAATTCTCTTGCACCTGCAAATTGAGACAGGAGGTTTGCACATGGCATATTCATATTATATTACACTTTTAGAGCGCCCTTTGCAAATGTGTTCTGGATTGAAAGGACATCACACCCCGTCACTGCACATTGACAGACCGGTTCCTCAAGTCAAGTGATGGCCTAGCTTCATGGCTGGCTGGCAAGCTAGCTAGCCAAATCAGCTAGCAGGTTGTCACTCGTTGTCAGACATTGCTCTGTTTAATTGGTTACACTACACACTGTTTGTTTTCTGAACGGCAAACATGTGGTGAATTACTCATAGGAAGCCCCTAAACTACACACTGACAGGCTACAGCAACCTGAAGGCCGCAACATCATTCAGTCTGTTGACAAGCATTTCTCTGTTGTTCACATTATCAGATATCCCAGTTACAGCTCGTGGTTTAGCATGACCCCATGTGCTAACAAAGATCCATACTCTGAGGACGTGATAACCTTCGGATCCTCCTCCAGGTATTTCGATGCTCTGTGCTCCCCCCATGTCTCCTCGAACCCTGGATATTTTTGTGGGGAAACTGCGATTAGCTGGCTAGCCACAGTAGCTATTATTTTCCTCCGTTTCCGGAATAATGCTAAAGATAGGCAAAATTGCCTACATAGCAACACTTCCGGTACACTGCAAGAGAGAGTTTCTAAACCCAGAGACACAACATCGCGAGACTTCCGGGAACGCTTGCCAAGCAGACAAGGCCGCGGTTTGGGGTTTGAGAGGTCAATAAGATAAGTGAAACATTGTTCCTTTGTTGTTAATTTTCTCGATATCTAAAAGCACAATTTAGATTCGAGCCAGTGTCTTGAGTAGTTGAACATGTTATTACTCCAACCTTGTGAAATTGACAAACTGACACGTTTTCATTTTCGTCAAAAACAACTATATATTGAAGGAGTGCCTTTTATTTGACGGCATGCACAGGCGCAGTTTGGCGCAAGACAACCGTTGACGTTTTTCTGCGCTTGCGCTTAGCTAGCCAACGTCGCCATGACATCGCATACAAGCGTGATCGAGGATTTCTATTGGAGAAGCAGTTTCTGCCTATCTTCATACTGTACTGTCTTTGGGTTCTGGCATCATCAAAAATAAAAGGTACTAAAACCTTGTAGCTTTGTTGTGTGTTCAATGTGTTATTTTAAATACGATTTTATCCAGTTAAACAAACGAATGTGTGTGATATGGAAAGTTACAAAGAAAACAAAAAAGTAACTCAGGAAAGACCCCTTCTGAGCAGTTTAGTAGGCTATGCATTTATACATTTACATTTTGGTCATTTAGCAGACGCTCTTATCCAGAGCGACTTACAGTTAGTGAGTGCATACATGATTTTTTTTTCATACTGGCCCCCCGTGGGAATCGAACCCACAACCCTGGCGTTGCAAACGCCATGTTCTACCAACTGAGCTACATTCCCTGCCGGCCATTCCCTCCCCTACCTTGGACGACGCTGGGCCAATTGTGCGCCACCCCATGGGTCTCCCGGTCGCGGCCGGCTATACAATTGTTATGCTATTATTTAATGGTTATTTAAGGTCACTCTAAAGAAAAAAGCTGTTCATGTGAAGGGCATATAATGTTAAATCACCTTGCATTGGCTATTTTCCATGTTTTAGAATTAGACAGTGCCTTCAGAAACTATTCACACCCCTAGTATTTTTACACATTCTGTTGTGTTACAGACTGCATTTAAAATTGATTAAAATTAGATTTGGTGTCACTGGCCGACACACAATACCCCATCACGTCAAAGTGGAATTATGTTTTTAGAACTTTTTACAAATTAATTAAAAATGTAAAGCTGAAATGTCTTGAGTCAATAAGTATTCAACCCCTTTGTTATGGCAAACATAAATAAGTTCAGGTGTAAAAAGCTTAACAAGTGACATAATAAGTTGCATGGACTCACTCTGTGTGCAATAATTGTATTTATCATGATTTTTGAATGACTACCCCATCTCTGTACCCCACACATACAATTATCTGTAAGGTCCCTCAGTCGAGCAGTGAATTTCAAAAACAGATTGAACCACAAAGACCAGGGAGGTTTTCCAATTCCTTGCAAAGAAGGGTACCTACTGGTAGATGGGTAAAAAAAAAAAAAAAAAAAAAATATTGAATATCCCTTTGAGCATGGTGAAGTTATTAATTACACTTTGGATGGTGTATCAATACACCCAGTCGCTACAAAGATACAGACGTCCTTCCTAACTCAGTTGCCGGAAAAGAAGGAAACCGCTCAGGGATTTCACCATGCGGCCAATGGTAACTTTAAAACCGTTACAGAGTTTATGGCTTTGATAGGAGAAAACTGAGGATGGATCAACAACATTGTAGTTACTCCACAATACTAATCTAAGTGAAAGAGTGAAAAGAAAGAAGCCTGTACTGAATACAAATATTCCAAAACATGCATCCTGTTTGCAACAAGGCACTAAAGTAAAACTGCAAAAAATGTGGCTAAGAAATTAACTTTATGTCCTGAATACGTTTACATTTAAATTTTAGTCATTTAGCAGACGCTCTTATCCAGAGCGACTTACAGCGTTATGTTTGGGGCAAATCCAACACAACACATCATTAAGTACCACTCTTCATATTTTCAAGCATGGTGGTGTCTACATCATGCTATGGGTATGGTCATTGGCAAGGACTAGGGAGTTCTTTATGATAAAAATAAATGAATTAGAGCTAAGCACAGGCAAAATCCTAGAGGAAAACCTGGTTCAGTCTGCTTTCCAACAGACACTGGGAGACAAATTCACCTTTCAGCAGGACAATAATATAAAACAGAAGGCCAAATATACACTGGAGTTGCTTACCAAGACCACATTGAAGGTTCCTGAGGAGCCCAGTTACAGTTTTGACTTTAATTGAATATCTATGGCAAGACTTGAAAATGGCTGTCTAGCTTTGATCATCAACCAACTTGACAGAGCTTGAAGAATTGTAAAGATAATAATGTGCAAATATTATACAATAAGAGCAAAGCTCTTAGAGACTTACCCAGAAAGACTCACAGACATAATTGCTGCCAAAGGTGATTCTAACATGTATTGGTTCAGGGGTGTGAATACTTATGTAAATGAGATATTTCTGTATTTCATTTTCAATACATTTGCAAGAATTTCTAAAAACATGTTTTCACTTTGTCATTATGGGGTAGTGTGTGTAGATGGGTGACCATTTTTTAAATATTTAATACATTTTGAATTCAGGCTGTAACACAACAAAATGTGGAACAAGTCAAGTGGTATGAAACATTTCTGAAGGCAGTGTATCTCATGATTGGGGAATCATCACAAAACAGGTGTGCCAAGTGGAACCTTATCAATGTGTCTCATGATGTTCCATCATGTTCCAGGTCTTACTTTTGATGAGAAAGGAATTTCATGTTGAACAGTTGGATGATAGACGACCTGACATAAACATTGTAAATGAAAACAACAACATGGTTGTTGATTCCATAGGTGCTGGATGGTGCTGTTCAGTACCATCATTGGGAGGAGCACTGCATATTGTTGTCATCTCAGAGCAGGAGTGGACAAGGCTAAGGTAAGAGGATCGTGTGGTGATAAGGGAGAAGATCACTATCATAAGGAACGTGGGTTGCACAGATTAATGAATACATCATTGAATATCTCTGTGATGCAGGTCTTATCATATCATTTGAAATAAAGTTATTCAGGGTTGTGCTTCCACTCGTCAATCATGAGCAGCTCCTTCAGTATGAATGTCCATGTGATCAACTTGATATACTCTGATCTAGAGTAGCTTTCCACAGCAGCCTCTTGCTGTGAACAAAATTACTTAGTAGCCTATATGTTGGAGTGAAAATTATATTACAGGTAAACAACTGTTTCCACTCTTGTTGGGGTGTGAAATTAAACAAAGCAGAAAAGCATTGATTTTGTTTATACAATAATACAGCTGAGATGAATCAACCAATGTGGCGGACTGGATAAACATCTGCCAAATGCAGGGGGTTGTTTGGATAGTGAAATGAATCTCTCAATATCAGAGATTAGACTTACTAATCAATATTAAACCTATACATCTAGTCAATTACCTTTATTTGTATTGTACAAAACATTAATGTATTGATTAAGCAAATACATTAACTTTAAAGGAAGCTTATTATTTATCTTACAAAGAAGGATATCTATGAAAGGATTCAGTAGCTTATTGTACTGCATGTTAGGCTAGGCCTCTATAAACTCTGTGGTTGTAAAAGTTCCATCTTACTGGCCTTTTGCCATTATAAGGGGGACAATTTATCATACTGGGAACAAAATCTCCACAGCGGAAGGATACCTTTGTGCTCTGATTTTGAGGCCAAATTACCCCCACTTCAAAGCACTACACCCATCATATACTAGAAAGAGATAGTCATTATCTGCCCTCGCCTTTTACACATTATATTCAAAATGGTCTACATTTACATTTACATTTACGTCATTTAGCAGACGCTCTTATCCAGAGCGACTTACAAATTGGTGCATTCACCTTATAGCCAATGCTTTCAAGGCTGGGAGGACAACAATAATTCTGTCCTTCTACAAGTATTTTAATAATAATAATAATAATAATAATAATAATATGCCATTTAGCAGACGCTTTTATCCAAAGCGAATTACAGTCATGTGTGCATACATTTTTACGTATGGGTGGTCCTGGCAATATGATCACCATGGCTCACGTAGCACTGACTCTGATCAACTGTAAGAATTAAATCATTCTTAATCTGCATTCCTGGACAGAAATTAATACAATATGTGTGCCTTTATAGGCATACTGCATTTACAATTCTTGAATTCAGTACTATGGTAATACTTTTTTTATTTATACACATGATTCATATATTGTGCTAAAGTATTACATTTGTGACATTACAGTTTTTGGCCCTATTACTTTTAATCAGTGAACAATTCTCGGTCTAGTGTCTACAATGACACTATCCTACTAGAAGTAAATAAATAAACTCAGTATTTCACTAGCAGCATGCTGACGCCTTAAGTCCCTGCAATCATCATTCCTCTCAGGGCCGCTCTATGTGGCTGTCACAGATTTATACCCATTCAGTCCTCCAAGTGATTTACACTGCAAGTCTGGACCAAGGAAATATAGTATTCTTAGTGTACCTGAAAATCAATTTTTACAGTACAATAAAATATACTCTGGGGAGTTTTCAGGAAACAGACCTGGACGTTTTGTGAGAGTCAACATTTTCATGGTGAATACTACTGAAGAAGGACCCAAAAAGTTTGGGAATGTCAATACTAGCGAATGCTAAACACAGAAGCCTGTAAAATAAATGAGTATATTTTACTTATGAACTGGCAACAATCTGGACAAGAAAATTAGTAGGTAGATCAGATGACCAATATTTTAATTTATGGTAAGGGTTACAATACTCTTTAGAGCAGAGCAAATACATTACCTCTGGGTTAAATGTGGCAGTCCACATGTTTGATCCTTCAGCGTGCACCACGTGGCAAAGAGCTGTCTCTTCTCTGGGCTGCCATGCTGACCACACCAACTGCCTGGCCTGGCCTGTCATGATGGTGAATGGATCTTCCAGAGCTGTGCTCGCCAGCCATGATCTCCTTCCTGTCTGGCTTTG